CTGTGAATGAGTGACTGGAGTACCAGAACGATGGGGGATAACAGAAAATATGGAGAGAATTGTTGAAGATTTGTTGGCAGAAAATTTCTCTGATATAACGAAAGATGACAAGATACCTATTCAAGATGCTCATCGAACCCCACATAAGCTAGATCCCAAAAGAAAGTCACCAAGACATAATTATACTCAAACTTGTCAAAACCAAAGATAAAGAGACAATTTTAAGAGTGGCTAGGAATAAACGAAAAGTCATCTACAAAGCAGAGTCAATAAGCTCAGACTACTCAGCAGAAACCATGCAGGAAAGAAGGCAATGGGATGACATATATAAAGCCTTGAAGGAAAAAAACTGCCAGCCAAGAATTATATAACCAGCAAAACTGTCTCTCAAGGACGTAAATAACCCAAATAAGAAATGAAATGGGCGACATTACAACAGACCCAACCGAAATAAAAAGGATTGTAACAGAATATTATGAAAAACTATACTCCAACAATTTTGAAAACCTAGAGGAAATGGATAAATTTCTAGAAACACACTACCTACCCAAACTACAACAAAGTGATGTTGAAAATATGAACAGATCCATAACAAGAGAAGAGATTGAAAAGGTAATAAAAAAACTCCCAACCAAAAAAAGCCCTGGCCCAGATGGCTTCACTGGAGAATTTTACAAAACATTCACAGAAGAGCTTGTACCAGTACTTCTCAAGCAATTTGAGAGCATAGAAAAGGAAGCAACACTTCCGAATTCATTCTATGAAGCCAGCATAACGCTGATACCAAAACCAGGCAAACATGCCACAAAAAAAGATAATTACAGACCAATATCTCTCATGAATATAGATCAAAAACACTGGAAATAACAAATGTTGGAGAGGCTGTGGGGAGATCGGAACTCTTATGCCCTGCTGGTGGGAATGCAAAATGGTACAACCATTTTGGAAAATGATATGGCACTTCCTTAGAAAGCTAGAAACAGAAATACCATACAATCCAGCAATCCCACTGCTAGGAATATATCCTAGAGAAATAAGAGCCATCACTCAAATAGACATATGCACATCTATGTTCATGGCAGCATCATTCACAATAGCAAAAAGATGGAAACAACCTAGATGCCCATCAGCAGATGAATGGATAAACAAACTATGGTACATACACAAATGGAGTACTATGCAACAATAAAGAACAAAGATGAATCTGTGAAGCATCTCGTAACATGGATGAAACTGGAGGACATTATGCTGAGTGAAATAAGTCAATCACAAAAGGACAAATATTGTATGAGA